CTTGGCACGGACGTCCTTGAGGATAGGCAGGAGGGCCTTGAGTGTCTTGCAGCCACTGCGCCTCATCTCGTGTCCATGCTGCTTGCCCCTGAGGGAGACCCGGATGCAACAGACATCCCGACCCGGCGCTCTTACGCTGAGGCGATCGCGGGTGAGTACTCCTCTCACTGGCAGACAGCCATGGATCCAGAGATGGCATCCTTGAAGTCCACGGGCACTTACATTGACGAGGTTCCCACTCCTAGGGAGAACATCGTCAGTGGCATGTGGATTTTCAGGGTGAAGCGGGTGCCAGGTTCTCCGCCTGTCTTCAAGGCTCGTTACGTTGCTCGACGTTTAAGTCAGCGAGAGGGAGTAGACTTCTTTCATACCTTCTCCCCCACCCCGAAGATGACCACTCTTTGGGTGCTGCTGCACGTTGCCGCTCAGCGTGACTACGAGCTTCACTCTCTTGACTTCAGCACAGCTTTCTTGCAGGGCAGCCTGCACGAGGAGATCTGGCTGAGCCGCCCTCCTGACTTCACTGGGTCGTTCCCTCCTGGTACCCTGTCGAGCCTCCGGCGGCCAGTCTACGGTCTCCGCCAGGCGCCGCGTGAGTGGCACGACACACTGAGAACTACACTTGCGGCTCTTTGGTTTGCTCCGTCGACTGCTGACCCGTCGCTGTTTCTGCGCACCGACACGTCGTTGCCGCCGTTCTACATCCTCGTGTACGTCAACGACACACGTGCCCTGGTGAAGTCGGAGCTGCAGAAGAGACACACGTGCACAGACCTGGGTGAGCTGCGCAACTACCTTGGCTTGCAGATCACCCGGGACAGAGCACGACGCACCATCACCCTGACTCAGTCACACATGATGCAGCAGTTCCTTCAGCACTTCGACTTCACTTTGTCCTTGCCGCAGTCCACTCCTATGGCTACCGGTCACCCGCTCTCAGCTCCACCTTCAGACGAGTCCGTAGAGCCGAGTGGCCCGTATCTAGAGCTAGTGGGCGGCCTCATGTACCTGATGACCTGCACTCGACCTGACCTTGCGTACCCTCTTGGCCTTCTGGCTCGCTACGTGGCTCCTGGTCGGCACCAAAAGGTGCACATGGATGCTACGAAGAGGGTACTGCGCTACTTGTGCGGTACGTCGGGCATGGGGCTCGTGCTTGGAGGGCGGAGCCCATTTGTCCTCACTGGGCACTCAGACGTTTCTTGGGTTGACGACCAGTCTACGCAGCGGTCGTCACAGGGTTACACCTTCAGCCTTGGCTCTGGTTCAGTTTCTTGGCGTTCTACACGCTCGTCTTCGGTTCTCAGCTCGAGTTGTGAGGCTGAGATCTACGCCACAGCCATGGCTGCACAGGAGTTACGCTGGCTCACCTACCTGCTGACCGACTTGGGAGAGCGGCCTCGTTCTCCTCCAGTGCTGTACATCGACAACAAGGCCGCCATTGCCTTGTGTCAGGAGCACAGACTGGAGCACACAACGAAGCACATCGCTCTGCGTTACTTCCTGGCTCGAGAGTTGCAGCGGCGTGGTCAGCTTCGTCTTGCTCACGTGGCCACTTGGGCCAACACTGCTGATATATTCACCAAGGCACTTCCGTCTGGTGATCATCAGCGTTTCTGCCCTTAGTTAGGCCCTGTGCCCACTTTTCCTCACTTGCTGTAGACTTTGTTTGTCTTGTGATCTATATATATACCTGCTTGCTTGCTCTGATAGGTAGAGATCGCCGTGCTGTTGTTGTTGCATATATACCTCTGCATGTGAACTGGCCTTGTGGCCCTTTGCTTGTGCTCAGTGTGTGTGGTGACATTGTGATCCACCCTGAGCTTGCTTTGCTTCTCTTGACTGGTCTTGTGACCCCTTGCTCTCCCCCACTTTGCCTATGGGGGTGTGTCAAATGATATATATGCTATATATGCTTAGGCTGTAGTGTCAGTAGAGCTACACTGTGAGATCCCCGATCGATCCTAGGGGGGGTTACAGGCGCGTTTGCCTAGGGGGTTATGGGCGCACTGACCCGCTACTGAAAAAAGCCCTTTCATCCCAATGGTCTAGTGGTTGGGATTCTGACATGGTATTAGAGCGGTCTCGGATTCGAATCCCGGTGTATGCACATGTTGGCCGTTGCCACTGTGCTTAGTCCTGGGCCTCCCAGTGTGGGGGGGTGTCAGTAGAGCTACACTGTGAGATCCCCGATCGATCCTAGGGGGGTTACAGGCGCGTTTGCCTGGGGGGTTATGGGCGCACTGATCCGCTACTGAAAAAAGCCCTTTTATCCCAATGGTCTAGTGGTTGGGATTCTTGCATGTAGTGGGGTAGCCAATATGGGGTACGCCCCTTTTAGGGTTTCATATTTGTACCCATCTCTTTCATAGTTCATCCATTCCTACTGCCACATTCAAACACGAGCTTCAGCACTCCACAGTACAATGCACACCTGTTGCTGTTGACCACAGACTCACTGGACCCTTTCCTGGCGAGCCGTTTGAGCCTAGTAGTCCTTGCGCAGAGCTTGTGGGTTGCCTCATGTACTTGATGACTTGTACTCGCCCGGACCTCGCCTTCCCTCTCATCATCCTTTCTCGCTTTGTTGCACCAGGGAGACACCGTCCTGTTCATTGGACAGCTGCTGTGAGGGTGGCGAAGTACCTAGCGACCACATCATGCGTGGGGCTGGTTCTTGGAGGGCAGCAGTATGTTGTACTTGCTGGACACTGTGACTCTTCTTACGCTGACGACGCCGAGACTCACAGGTCTACTTAGGGGTTCTGCTTCAGCTTGGGCTTTCGAGCTGTTTCACGGAGGTCTACACATTCCTCCTCGGTCTCGACCTCGACTGCTGAGGCTGAGATCTACGCTGGAGCCACTGCTGCATAGGAGCTGCGTTGGTTGACCTTCTTGCTCACCGACCTTGGTGAGCGGCCGAGCTCTGCACCGACCTTGTTCACTGACAACAAGGCGTCGATTCTCCTGTGTCGAGAGCCGCGACTGGAGAGCAGAGTGAAGCAGATCAACGTCAGATACTTTCTTCTGCGAGAGTTGCTGAGGCGTGGACAGGCTCACTTCGACTTTGTGGAGTCCGAGGCCAACACTGCAGACATCTTCACCAAGGCACTTCCGCCTTGTGACCACCAGAGGTGTTGTGTGCAGTTAGGTCTCGTTGACACTGGTTCTCGCCTTGCATAGTCTTGAGTTCGTTGCTCGCTTTGTTTGTACTGTGAACTTTTGAACTGGCCTTGTGGCTCTTTGCTTGTACTCGGAGTGTGTGGTGACATTGTGATCCACCCTGAGCTTTGTTCCTTTGTGATTGGTCTTGTGACTGTACACTCTTGGTTTTGCTTGCACCCCTCACTTAGACTATTTAGGGGTGTGTCAAATATTGTAGTCTTAATGATGTGTGTTATAGGGGGTACAACTGTTAGGGTTAGGTTTATGTACCCCAACCAACCTTAGTCAAACCAACACCTTCATTCTTGACACATTTCCTTATTACAGTAGAATGTAAACCATGCGGCGCAAGAGCCCGTTTTGAAACCTGTTCCCTCTCTTTCAGTTCAAATGCTTCTGCCTGTATTGATCTTGGTCAGACGATTACCAGCGTCGCTTCGACTCTTCTGACTCCTCGACTTCGTACTTGGTAGAGTCGGCTCGTGCAATATATATAAATGCCTTCGCATAAAGTTTCATATCGTAACACTACCGAACACTTATAAAATGACCACCACACGCTTTATGATGCTGATTCCTTGTCGGGCTGGGCTTGCATCGACATTCATGGTGTCATCATCGAGAATATGGAGCCCAACTTGACAAGGATTCTGAGTTTTCTTACAAAATGAGGGGTTGTGTCTGAGTCTTCTATGTTTGAATCCAATATATTCAACACTTATGAGAGGTCTTGTTTGCAACGGATCGTTACATATCACCACGAGGAACATACATGCAGAATGGCCAACGCACGCTCGTCTGGATTGGCTAGGTTCGTGCCAACTGGGCAGGCACCGACATCCACGGTGTCATCAAGAATCTACAGCAGAATGAAGAGCTCAATGGGCAGCAGGCGAAGATAAAGGCTCTGACACCTGGTACTTTGGGAGCTGGTAGGGTCGTGTGACAACAACTCCATCCTCGCTGTATCTCGTGTGCTGCCGAACATCGCCCAGTTTCCAGAAGGACCTCTGGAAGCCTGAAGAGCTGCCGCCACCGCCACTTCCCAGTCGCTCGCCTCGCCACTCTACCACTGGACACACCTAGTGCTTCGAAGTTGTTGCGAGCGACAGCAGACCACTGGGGGCTGGCCTGGCCTGGCCTAGACAACAATGGTGTTCCTGTCCCTCCTCTCGAGGCCCAACTAGCTCGTGGCTGGTGGCATATCCCTTGGGCTTTTCTCGCTTCCACCAGACTCTGACTGCTGCTTGTCCACGTACTGGCGTTTCTCTGCTTCATCCCATTTGAAGCAGCCCGATCACCCGTTTTTGTCACGCGTACCTCACTAAAGTAGCTCCGTCGGTTGCAACGAGCCTCTTCCACGTGCCTTCATCAAGCTCCAATCAGAAGCCTGTGTAATGGCGACGTTCCAAAACAGCAGCCGCGCGCTCACCCACGCTCGGTCGTTGCTCCGCTTCCGCGGCTTTCCTCGCATTGCCACGGGAACCTCCGCCGCACGATCTTCTGCCATCCGCGACCCTTCTCTAGAATGCATCCCGCTCGGGAGCTTCAATCCGGCACACAGAACGCTGCACACGACACTGACGCCCTCGCCTCTGAATTCACACAAGGTAACGGCAACCGCCGTCGCCACCTCGTGCCGCCTCCCGTTCTCATGTGGTCATGTCAGCGCAGTCCCTAGTAGCGCAGCGCCGTACCAAACGAGCTGGCAACTGCGACGCAGCCACGCGGGGACACCGGAAGCGCAACTCGCAGTCCCTCAAGGATCCGACAGCGAGGAGGATGCGGTATCCGATACGGAGCACGCTACGATCAAGCCGTTTCAGCGGGACGTCATGCTGGATGTGCTGCGACACGTACCCGCGCCAGTGGTGGTCGTGACTGCGGCGTACCAAGGCTCGATAAGCGGCGGAAGCAGAAGCAGCGGTGGTGGAGGAGGTAAAGGTGATGCCCAAGCTGAAGCGGATGAGGAGCTGCACGTGCGAGGGATGACGTGCAGTAGCTTCATCAGGTGAGCATTTCGCACGACTGACTGTGTCCCTCAGGGACGGTCGGATTGCCCAAATTTGGCCGTTCACATCAAGCGGCACAAACTTGGCACAGAATGTAACCCTTCAGCATGATACTTTCAGCACTAAAAACATCAGGGAATGCATGCGCTTTGACACCTAGCGATTTCATTGCCAGCAGCATGTTGCTAACCTCACGTGAGCGTGTCGTCGTGCGTGCGTGCAGTGTGTCCATGGATCCGCCGCTCATCTCCGTCTGCATTCGCAAAGAATCCCACTTCCTCGATGTACGACCCCCTGCCAGCGGACCTCCCACTAAATGCTTGTCGATCAGCTCATTGTCTCGTCGTAACTGTTGCCGTATCTTCCCATTGTTCGATTCGTCGTTTTTCTTTTCAACCACTCAATGTTGCTTCCTCACGATGCAATTCCGATTCACGTTGGGGTTTTATCTGACGAAGGCGTGTACGCTCGTGCTTCGCAGGTGCTGAATCGCAGCACGGGTTTTGGTGTGCACTTACTGAACGAGGCGAACAAGGACTTCGCCAACGGCTTCGCACGACCAGTTAGTCTCTCTCTCGCGCTGTTAGGCCAGGATATCCGTAGCAACTTCGCCTCCCGGCTGCTATTCGGGATTTTTCGCCCTCTCCCATTTGTTCCTCCCCTCATTCCTCGTTTCATTTGTACTTGAGCTTGCATCCTCATGTCTCCATCCTCCCCCTCCCCCAATCCTTCCATCCCATTTACTACCTTAGGCCCCCTTTCCCGCACAAGTGACGCCACATACTTCGCTGAAATTCTTGCACTCGTGCCCCGGCCTTTCCCCACAGCATGACACGTGCTCCGTTCGACTTATAATGCCTCCCTTCCCTCTTCACTGTTTATCTTGTGAATCCCATCGATCTCTTGTCTTTCCCTTGGTGGTGTTCCACTATCACGGCCGTCATTTGCACTTCAACAGGCGGACAGCACACGAGAGGCCTTCTCCAGGTGCTCCCTTAATCCTTTTTCTCAACCTGTCACTTGAATGCTTCATTTTTCTACACCCTTTTTCCCTGCCTCTTTTTCAGGAATGGTCACATTATTTACCATGTTCCTGTGCATTTGCGTCTTCTCTCTCTTCTTTCCCCATTTTCCCCCTCTCCAGCGTTGTGAAGGACTGGGAGCTTGTCTCTCTGTCAAACTTCACTGCGAACAACAGTGGCGCTACAGCAGGAAGCAGCGATGCGGCAGCATCAGCTGATGTAAGCAGCATTGTGCCTCGCATCGGCGGCACCATGGCAATGCTGCTGTGCCGCACGTATGCTATGCATGATGCAGGAGACCATCACCTGCTTCTTGGTCAAGTGAGTCATATATTGCTTGCTCGCCCTATCGAAATGCTCCCTTTCTCCAGCGATTTCATCATATATCCATAACTTACCTTACATCCATGAATCTCTCATATTCTAGATTGCGTACCTCTTCTCTTCTTTTCCTTCATGCCCCCTTTGTTTCTGTGTTACAGGTGGTAGCGATGGATGTTAGTGACTTCCATCCCCTCATCTACATGAACCGCCACTACCACCAGCTGGGTCATTCCATATAATGCTGTGACCTGTACCCAGTACAATCTTCACTCATGTTTTGCATCTCTATGATGACAAGTGACCATGTTTTGTATCTATTGCAGTGCACCATATTGCTCAGATGTATTCCTGTCTCCGATAAGAACAACTAGATAAGCATTTGTTGCTCTAATGATCCCCCTTTCCCAACCCCAAGCCAAGCCCATTGCAAAAGCAAGTGATGTTAACTCTTACGGATGTGTACAGTGTGATCGACATTATTAATAGTGTCCTCTCAGTCAGGCCCCAAAATGGGTTTAGGCTCACCCTTACGATTCAGAGCTCTAGGTGTGGCCAACTCTGACTCCTAGGGTGAAATTTTCCAAAGTCTGATGGGTGCAGGGTAAAACAAGAGGCGACGAAATCGTCTTAGGGTTGCGAAGCAACATTACACTGTTATTTTTAGATACATCTGATCTATAGTGAGAATTATATAATATCGTAACATGACTTTGATATTTGCTGAATCATTGCTATTCATAGATACATGTTTCATGTAATATGGTAGTATACAAATGAAAGGGTGTACATAACAGATGGGTGTGGTTGTTTAGGGTAAGTTATTCTTGTTGTGTTCATATGATTTGGTTTTAGGGTGACTGAAAATCTGAAACAAATAAAACTACAGAAAGGAAAACAATTCTTAACCAAATCTTCGGCCATGATCAGATTCGAACTCCCGACGTTCGCGATATCGACGACGTCGACAGAGCTATGCTATACAACCCGTGTTTAAAACTGGCAAAACTTAATATTTAGCTTTAATGCAATAAGAACTTCCCATTCTAGGGTTTCGTCACATGTCTTTTTCCTCCGTTTCTCTTCCACCTAGTCAGACTACTCTAGCTTCTCCCCGTCCGTCACGCCACTCACGCCACTCACACCACTCAGACTATAACTCCTAGTTAAGGTAAGCCTCATTCTCTCTATTCTTAAGTTCATTCTAGTTGAGAGTGGGTTCTAGTTTAGCTCATTTGGTTGAGAGTTGTTTTTTTTTAAACGAGATGTAGACGTATTTTGTTTCTTAACCTCCCTTTCTTCCTAGGTTATGCACCGTACTTTTGTTCTCTCCTTTATTTCGATTTACATTCTACTTGCTTGCTCTTTTCAGCTCTTGCTCTTACTTTTGTCTTCTTCCGTACGCTTCTTGATTTATTCCTCTTCCTTAATTGAAATTTGACAAGATTATTAACAATTATGTTCAGAGAGTTAAATTATTAGGTTGGAGCATTCTCTTTCTCGTTCTCTTTCTCGTTCTCTTTCTCGTTCTCTCGTTGTCTAGTTCTTTCTCGTTCTCTCGTTCGTTCTCCCTCGTACTTTCTCTCCCGTTTTCTCTCTCTCTCTCTCTCGCGTTCTCTCTCTCTCCTCTTGTTCTCTCTTTCTCTCGTTCTCTCGTTCTCCCTCGTTTTCTCGTTCTCTCTCTCTTCTCTCTCTCTCTCTCTCTCTCTCTCTCTCTCTCTCTCTCTCTCTCTCTCTCTCTCTCTCTCTCTCTCCCTCTCTCTCTCTCTCTCTCTCTCTCTCTCTCTCTCTCTCTCTCTCTCTCTCTCTCTCTCTCTCTCTCTCTCTCTCTCTCTCTCTCTCTCTCTCTCTCTCGTTATTTCACTCTCGTACTCTCGCTCTCGCTCTCGATCGTTCACCCTCGTTCTCTCTCGCTCGTTCCCTCTCTCGTTCTCTCCCTCTCGTTTCTCGTTTTCTCTCTATCGTTCTCTCTCTCTCGTTCTCTCTCGTTTTCTTTCTCTCTCGATCTCTCACACTCTATCGTTCTCCCTCTCTCGTCCTCTCTCTCTCTCGATCTCTCTCTCGTTGTCTCTCTCTCTCTCTCTCTCTCTCTCTCTCTCTCTCTCTCTCTCTCTCTCTCTCTCTCTCTCTCTTTCCCTCTCTCTCGTTCTCTCTCATTCTCTCTCTCTCTCTCTCTCTCTCTCTCTCTCTCTCTCTCTCTCTCTCTCTCTCTCTCTCTCTCTCTCTCTCTCTCTCTCTCTCTCTCTCTCTCGTTCCGTCTCTGTCGTTCTCTCGTTCTCTTTTGTCAAATCTCTCGTTCGTTCTCTCTCGTTCGTCCACTCTCTCGTTCTCGCTCTCTTGTCCTCTCTCTCTCGTCCTCTCTCTCTCTCTCTCTCTCTCTCTCTCTCTCTCTCTCTCTCTCTCTCTCTCTCTCTCTCTCTCTCTCTCTCTCTCTCTCTCTCTCTCTCTCTCTCTCTCTCGCTCGCTCTCGCTCTCGGTCTCCGTTGTTCTCGCTCAACGTATTTGTTATATTCTTTTCGTTCGTTTACTGTCCCGTTATGTGTTTTTCCCTTTGTTCTCGTTCTTTACTTTCGTTTTATGCCTAAGTACATTTTCTCCTTGTTATTTGTCAGCTCTAACCCTTCAATGCTCATGGCGTTTTTCTTGGCCCTTGTATTGTTTCATTTGTTTCTTCATTATTCCTTTTTCTCGTAATTTCATTATGCCTTGTTATTTCCCATTTGCCTTCCTTTCCTCAACCCAGCTTTGTCTTACTTTTCAGGCAGTCGAGCTCAATATGAGGAGTAGACTGATATTGCTTGTGACTTACAGTATAGGATACATAATGTCTTGGTGATTTAGGTTTCTATTTCATCTGCGGTTAATATGCTTTGTTAGTTGGCTTCGTGTGTGCGTGTATGTGTGAATGTGTATGATGATGTGTATGCGTTGTGTTGTGTGCGTATGCGTTTGAGAGAATAAGCGAACAGGGAATGAATGAACTAGCAGTGAAATGAGTACAAGTAGGAAACCCTAGAATTGTGTACCCCCTATAGGCTAACCCACTGTAGCCTACACAAGCATAACATATATAATGTTTGACACACCCCCATAGGCAAAGTGGGGGAGAACAAGGGGTCACAAGACCAGTCAAGCAAAGCAAAGCAAGCTCAGGGTGGATCACAAAGTCACCACACAGTCCGAGCACAAGAGCAGGGCCAGAGGCCAGTTCACATGCAGGAGTACAGACATATATATAAAACTAGACAAGCAAGAGCAGGTATATATATATGTCACAGTACAAGTAAAGTCAAGAGGAGAGCAAGTGAGGCAAGACAGACACAAGACCCAGCTGGGTGCAAAAGCGCTGATGATCACAAGGCGCGAGTGCCTTGGTGAACACATCAGCAGTGTTGGCCTCAGAGGCCACGTACGCAAGTCGCAACTGACCACGCTGCTGCAGCTCACGAGCAAGGAAGTAGCGGAGAGCAATGTGCTTCGTTCTGTGCTCCAAGCGCTGCTCTCGACACAAGGCCAGCATGGCCTTGTTGTCTACGTACAGCACTGGAGGAGAACGAGGCGGCTCTCCAAGGTCAGTCAGCAGGTAGGTGAGCCAGCGAAGCTCCTGTGCAGCCATGGCCCGGGCGTAGATCTCAGCCTCACAACTGGAGCCGAGAACTGAAGACGAGCGAGTAGACCGCCACGAGACAGAGCCGGAACCAAGGCTGAAGGTGTAACCCTGTGACGACCGCTGCGTAGCCTGGTCGTCAGCCCAAGAAGCGTCCGCGTGGCCGGTAAGGACCACTGGACTCCGCCCTCCAAGCACAAGCCCCATGCCCGACGTACTGCACAGGTAGCGCAATACCCTCTTCGCTGCAGCCATGTGCTCTGGTCTGTGTCTCCCAGGAGCAACATAGCGTGCAAGAATGCTCAGAGGATATGCAAGGTCAGGTCGTGTGCAGGTCATCAGGTACATGAGGCAGCCAACAAGCTCTGCATACGGACCACTCGACTCTACGGACTCATCCGAAGGCAGAGCTGAGAGTGAGTGGCGAGTAGGCAGAGGAGTGGCCTGAGGCGAGGAGTACGTGAAGCCGAACCGCTGAAGGACCTGCTGCACCATGTGTGACTGAGTCAAGGTAATGGTGCGGCGTGCTCTGTCCCGAGTGATCTGCAAGCCAAGGTAGCTGCGCAGTTCACCCAGGTCTGTGCACGTGTGTCTCTTCAGCAGTTCGGACTTCACGTGGGCGAGTCCAGCAGTGTCCGCTGTGGCAAAGACCAAGTCGTCGACGTACACGAGGATGTAGAACGGCGGCAGTGAAGTGTCGGTGCGCAGAAACAGCGACGGGTCAGCAGTAGAAGGAGCAAACCCAAGAGCCGCAAGCGTAGTCCTCAGTGTGTCGTGCCACTCACGTGGTGCCTGGCGGAGACCGTAGACTGGCCGTCGGAGGCTCCACTGGGTGCCAAGAGGGAAAGTCCCAGTGAAGCCAGGTGGACGGCGCAGCCAGATCTCCTCGTGCAGGCTACCCTGCAGGAACGCAGTGCTGAAGTCAAGAGAGTGAAGCTCGTAGTCGCGCTGAGCGGCTATGTGCAGCAGCACCCGAAGAGTGGTCATCTTCGGGGTGGGAGAGAAGGTCTGAAAGTAGTCAACTCCCTGCCGCTGACTGAAGCCACGAGCAACGTACCGCGCCTTGAAGACAGGTGGAGAGCCCGGCGGCCGCTTCACCCGGAAGATCCACATGCCACTGACGATGTTCGCCCCAGGAGGGGGAACTGCGTCAACGTAGGTGCCTGTGGACTTCCAGGAAGCCATCTCTGCATCCATAGCTGCCTGCCACTGAGAGGAGTAGGGACCCTCTACGGCCTCCGCGTAAGAACGCGGAGTCGGGATGTCTAGTGCATCCGGGTCTCCCTCAGGGGCAAGCAGTACAGACGCGAGATGAGGTGAAGCAGCCGCTAGACACTGTAACTCCTCCTGTCTGTCCTCTAGGACGTCCGTGCCAAGAGCACACTCACCCCCGACGGACGGAGGACAGACAGACGCAGACTCAGTAACAAGACCAGCAGCGTAGTCGAGACGACAGCGAGCAGCAAAGTCAACGAGCTCAGCGACTAGAGCAGACGCAGCAGTGGACTCAAAAGAGGGGTCAGTGACGACAGTAGCAAGCAGACGCGTGACAGTAGGACTGGCAGCGCGAAGAGAGTCCGACTCAGGGTCGGCAAGCGCAGGAAGAGAGGACTCAGGAGGAGAAGGCAAAGGGGC